CCCTCATCTGCCCCTGTAGAGCGCGTTTTTAGGCTAATGCTGTATTAACTGCCAAGTGTTCCTGTCTATCAGATAAATATTTTGAAAACAATTGTTATTAAAATTTAATAAGAAAAATTTTTTATAAATAAAAATATCTTTTTATTCGCTATATTATATTTTATTTATAATTATATTATCAAAATAAATTATATTATTTTTTAACATGGCTAAAATATATTGTATTAAAAAATGTAAGTTTATTTATATTAAATTAAATTTAAAGAAAATTTATCATAAAATTTTGAACGGTTTTATGAGGTGAACGAGTTCGTGAACGTGAACGCGTTCCATTTTTTTGAACATGAACTTGAACGTGAACGCGTTCGATTTTTGTCAATGAACGTTGAATGCGTACACGTTCGATTTTTTTAGAAATGTTTACAGCACTATTTCATTCATATAAGTCAGTACAGGGGAGTATATCAACATCGATTGCAATACAAAAATATTCTCAAATAATAAATAATACAGATGCAACTACATTTGCGGAAATTGTATACATCTATCATGTAGTTCAACATTCACAGAGCTATATCATCACAATGTGGGTCCAATTTTTTTCTCATGATATTTAACGACTCCAATATAAATGCAAACCTTACTTGTGGCAGAACAAAAATGGGCAAGGCTATCGTAAGTGTTTTAGTACCTGAATCCTAGAGGTCAATTCTAGACGATTTGAAAGATGGGCATCCATATTCAATTCTAACAGATGCATCTAATAAGGGAAATATTAAAACATTTTCATTGATCCTTCGCTATTTCAACAAGAATAAGAATATCTCCATAAAACTGTTAAAATTTTTTCCTCGGATAGTGAAAAGTCCAACTATGTAGCTAGCCACATAATGGTAAATATAGCTGATTCAGGGGTATCAATGATTTGCATGTTAGCTTTCTGCGCTGATAATGGCTCTGTAAATTTTGGCAAAAACTAAAGTTACAGAATTGAGGCAGCACTATAATGAATTAATATCAATTGGCTGTATATGCCATACACTATATAATTCTTGCAAGAAGGCAATAAATGTACTATCGGTGGATGTCAAAATAATTGTGATGAAATGTTTTAACGAATTTAGTCATCAACTAAAAGAGTTAATGAATTAAAAGAGTTGGTGAAGTGGTCTGACTTGGAATGGTGTGAGTTGTTGCGATATATACCTATCATTGTCATTAATACCTGCCATCGATAGAATTTTAAAATTTTACAAACCCTTAAAAAAAATACTTTTCTTAAATAAAGATTTTAAAAGCTGTCCTAAAATTTTGAAAATTTTTTCGAGTATGAAATGGCAGAGGCATATTTTGGATTCATTTCACATGTAGGAAATCTGCTTCATGCAGTTAATATTCAGTTGCAATCAGAATATTCTTTATAAAAAAGATTCATAAAATCATGCTACAGCCAGAGTCTACATGAGCGGGAGGGGTAGGAACAGTTTGCATCCTATTTTTTTGAGGGGGTAGGCTGCTTTAATGGGGGTATGATAAATTTTTTGGGGGGTTATCTATTAAATTTTGAGATCAAATAGGACAAAATTTATTGCTGTAAAAATTAATACTTTTATTATAGAATTATTATAATTCAATTCATCGACCAAATCTATATATTGCAAACAATCATACACATTGTTTTCCAAGTAAAACTTTCTGCTATCCTTTGTAATGTAATTTAAAAGGTTTAGATATTTTAGCAAGCTCATAATGCCATAATAATTAATTCATTGTAAATAATGGAGGTTTTAATTGAATTTATTATCTAAAAAATAAATTCTTTATATTCACAAAATATCGATAGTTGGTAGTAGAGATAGATTAATTTAAGTTAATTCTCTGAAAAGTGTATAAATAAATTAATAAGGTGAAAATAATAGAGAGACACTGCCGCCGAAGATGGCGGGAATTTTTAGGGGGGTAACAGGTTTTTGGAGGGGCTTTGCATCCAGTGAAAATCCTGTCATGTATACGCTGGCTACAGTTCTGTTCATCTCTACAGTTAAAAATTGATAATAAATTTTATGGCGCTATTGCTAAAAATATTATATTTAAATATTCAAATAATACTCTAATTAATACATTTTTAAATGAAGCAGATATTTTTATTGTTAATATGACCGATTAATACTAACCTTTAAATTGTTTTTTTTATGTTGTTATAAATTGATTTTTTTTATAAATTGATAGATTGATTTTTTTTATATAAATTTTTATATATTTTGTTATATAAAGCAGATTTTTTTAGTTTAAAAGAGAATGTAAAATTTAAATAGAGATATTGTGTAAAATTAAATAATTTATTTAAATAAACGATTTTTTATATAAACTAATCTTCTAAAATACTTTATGGATTACATCAAATATTCAAAGATACTTCATTTATTAAGATAATTTTAGAATATTTAATCAAAATTTGATTTTAATAACTCTATTTACAAATGTATAAATATTATGACCTTGGAAAAGAAATCATCAATTGATGGTTTTTATAATTAATAAATATATTAAAAATACTGAAAGACATTGATTTCTTGTTAGAGGAGATTGTAATTCTCTCTATTTTTTATGATTCGCCAAAATACTTAAAGTTAGATGGTCTAAAAGCAGAGGAGAAATGGGTTGAATTTTTTCGTAATAACGATAAATCCCCATGCTTGGAAAAAATATGCGAGTATGTCTTCTCCTTACCTCATTTTAATGCCTCATCCGAGCGCATTTTTAGCCTAATGAGGACTGCCTGGAAAAAGGAGAGAAATCGGATTGCTTTAACAACATTAGAGGCCGAGCTAATGATTAAACAAATATATAATATGTCATGTCAGGAATTTTATAAATATCTCAATAACGACGATAAACATTTAGTTCTATTATTTAAATCTCAAATAAAATATAATTAAATTTTAGCAATGGCGCCATAAAATTTATTGTCAATTTTTAACTGTAAAGAGAAAATCTGCAGCATAATTTTGTGAATTTGTTAAAATTCTTCTGATTGCAACTACACATTAACAGCATGTAAAAGATTTCCTACTGGTGAAATCATTCCTAAATATACCTCTGCCATTCATTATCGGAAAAAATTTTCAAAATATTAGGACAGCTTTTATAATCTTTATTTAAGAAATATTTTTTTAAAAGTTTATAAAATTCCGATGGCGGGTATTAGGAACATATCGCAACCAAATCGCAACCAACATTGTGCTGACTCAATTCTGTAAATACACTCTGTTTTTACCAAATTCACTGAGGCATTATCAGATCAGAAAGCTGACATGCAATTTATGATAATCTCGAATCTGCTATATTTACCATTATATGGTTAGCTATGTCTTTGGATTTTTCGCTATTTCAGGGAAAAATTTAATAGTATTATTGAAACGACCTTAATTTTGATGAAATAGCGGAGGAAATATTTCCCTTATTAGATGCATTTGTTAGAATTGCATATGTGTGCTCATTTTTAAAATCGTCAAGAATTGACCTCCTAGATTTAGGTCCTAAAACATTGATGATAGCCTTGCTCATTTTTGTTCTACAAGTATAGTTTTCATTTATATTAGAGTCATTAAATATTATAGGAAAAAGATTCTACCGCGATGATAAGTATCTCTGAATGTTGTACTACAAGATAAGTGATTACAATTCCCGCAACTGTAGTTTCATCTGTATTATTTTTTATTTGGAGTACCTTATTATGTATTTAAACGTGATACGTAATAATTAAGCGTCTATCCCTATAATGTTTTACACACATACACTGTAGATTACCAATTGCGGTCGTTTTGCGGGACATTCGCATAAAATATATTTTTAATTGTAAAATTAAAATCGTTTTTTTTATAAAATTTTATCTTGTTTACATTCTTTTATATTTAAAAAAGATCCTTGGTATTTTTTATAAATTAATATATTTTAATAAATCAAGATGTTATTTTATTTTAAAAAATAGTTACCGACTTTGTATTTATATAAACTAAATAAAAAATAATAGGCTCCCGCAAATTTTTTTTTTAGCAATTTTTATATTTCTACCGCAATTTTTATATTTCTCTCTCATAATACCAAATTTTTCCCGCAATTTGAAAATTTTGACCTGATACCCCACCCATCCTCGCTCAATGTTTTTAATTACTTTATTTAGCAATCTTTTCCTTGTTTCTTTGGAGTTCAACTTGACCAAGATTTATATCGAGTCAATTTATAGCTTAAATTTTTAATGCTTGTTTCTGGTCGTTATCTGACTCTATACTTACTAATGAAGTTTAGATAATGTATCAGCCACTATGTTTTCTTTTCCTGAACGATATTCAATTTCAAAATCATATGCGGACATTTTCCATGCCCAGCGCGTTAATCGATTATTGGATATTTTTGGTAGTTTATGTTTATCACCAAATAATTTTCCCAAAGGTTTGTGATCTGTTCGCAATATAAATTTTAGTCCAAAAATGAAAGTATAAAAATTTTTCCATTCCAATCAAAAGTGCTTGTGCCTCTTTTCTTTTGGTGCATAATTCTTCTCTGACTCCAATAATGTTCGCGAAGCCAATGCGATAAGTCTGCTAGAACCATTTATAACTACTTGAAGTAGCACAGCTCCAAAACCAGAGTTAGAGGCGCCATTCTAATATAATTGGCAAAGACGAATAAGGAATTAAAGTTTTATTTGTTGACAAAAGCAGCTTTATTTTATTAAATACATCTTGTTCCCTATCAGACAAGCTCCAGGAACTTTTAATATGTAATGGAGCGGCTATACCATGAATGTGGTAAAAATCTCTCGTGAAAATTCACAAGTCCTAAAAAAGATTGCAATTGGTGTACATTCTTAGGAGTTGGTATCCTCGAATAGCAATCATGATAATATATTCCAAATAGAATGTAATATAAAATGAACTATAATAATATTATATAGTATTTATCACAGTAACTATCCTCGGCCCACGGTAATATTAATATTTTCTGCTCCATGAGAGCCGACCCTCTCTCTCTTCAACAAGAAACATGACATGTATGTAATCTTATTTTATAGTAGGCACAAGTATATTTATTTTTCAAATTCTGGTATAACTTGTGGAAAAATAATACTATGACAAGTAATCAAAATACACAGGATCAAATATTTATAAAATAATATAATAAATATTTACAGGGGGTAATCAGAGGGAAAAGGCTCGAGAAAAAAATATGAAAAAGCAGAAGGATAACGAAAAGTCTAAAACAGGAGGAGAGAAAGGAACAAACCAAGGTCAGACGTTACAATCAAGGCAAGAAAGGTAAGAATTATATTTAAACATTTAAAACATTTTACTAAATTTTTTTAGAGATGCACAATTGATGAGAGATAAACAAAAAAAAGCAGAAGAAAAATAAACTGCCATATAAAATTTTCCTTTAACATATTCACAGACTATTGTATATCAATTTTTTAAAATTTAATATTATTTATGACTATGCTTTTATATTAATATATCATTTAGTTAACTTTATCTAATAAAATTAAAGCTTTTTAGTATTTTAATTATATATATATATATAAATCTAAAGCTTAGTAAGGGCTTGAAATTTAAAATATTGAAAGAGAACTGGCATATTAAAACAAACAGCATGCCCAGTTAAATATTTTGCCTGGCCTAGCTTGAAAAAAATTGGCTTAACCCATTTTAATTTTTTCTAAAAAAGGACCAGGGGTTTGAACTCGCCAAGTTTTGCAGATCTCTAATCATGATATTACAGTGGCTTATCTATGAACCCCTGTTGAGAAATGCAATTTTTTATTTAAATGCCATTATTTTCTTAATAACTTTTATATAAATATCCATACTTTGTTGCAAATTATTTTAAAAATTTATTACACTTTTTTCTAAAAATTATATTTTATCTATAGAATTTGATTAAATAAAAATTGACCTTGGAAATTAAGATATTAATACAATTTGATATTAAATTATTTTAATGCAAAAAATTTATAAATTAGTTACTTTAAAATTGGTTTGTCTCATAGATTTAATAATTGCACCTATTATTTAAAACAGGGCCAATTATTTATTGACAATCATTTATAGATATGATATCCAATTTTTTATTCTTAGCAATTCTTTAGCTAACCTACCTTTTTATGTTTCCTGATATGTTTTTTAGTTAGTTTTATATAAGGGCTAAGCTGGTCATTTTATTAACCCTTTAACATCTCACGATTTGTTTTGACATCATATAATATAATAATATATTTTAAATTTATAAAAGCCAATAGATTTAATTTAACAACATATGATATAAATATAATAAAAATACTTTTGTATTTTATTAAAATTATTAACGCATATTATTTTTAAATTTCATTCAATCATATATTTAATTTTATCTTTACTTTTTTTTACTGAATTATATGATTTTATAATGACAATATAATGAATTCTGTGTAATACTAAATAATTCTAAATTTTTTATTCATTGTTAAAGGTAAGAGTATAATATTATAAATAATTATTTTATTTTATTAAATAAAAATGACTTAAAGTGTATGACGTCAAAACAAGTCATTGGGATTTTAGAATACCTTTTTTAAACATTTTTTTTAAAAATATTAATAATAATTCTATAGTTATAATTATATTTCACCATAAAATATATTCTAAATCCAATCAGATGATACCAATTTTGAATTTGGCATTGATAAGACCTATGTCCTCTTACGCATATTATAATTTTACATTTATTATATTTTTTAAAATGATTCTGTATAATTCATAGATGCCAAATAATTTAATACTAATCGAGGGAGACATTTCGGAAACTAACCGATGAATCAGATAATGAAGAAGATATTTTGCACAATCTTTACTATGATTCTCCTTCAACTTTTTCAATTCCAACATCTAATATTCTTCAAGTTGAGATAAAAGATCCAGAAAATAATGATAATTAGGGATGTACCGATATTTTTTATCAGATCGGGCCGATATTTTACCCATTCTAAAATATCGGTTATCGGCCATTATAAAATTTTCCGATCCGATCCGATAAAAAATGGCGTCTTTAACAAAAATAATTTTATAAAATTTTTAAAAAATGTTATATCTAAAATCATTTATTTTTAATAAATAAAATCGAAATATTTTTATGGATATTTTTTTAATAATAATAATTAATTAATAAACATTCTGCAATATTATTTTTTTTTTGCGCATTCTGTTTATAAAAGTGTGCGATTATCTCTTCAGAATCTGTATTTAGTGAAGCTGGTGATATTGACAGTTACCATCGCCTCAGGCTGACCTCTGATAAATTGGAAATTTCGCCTCAGGCTTACCTCTGATAAATTGGAAATTTTGATATTCCTAAAAAGAAATCTTCGATATATTAATGTTAAATATTATTTTAAATATTTATTTCAAATTTCATAATATAGTTGTTTATTACTTATTATTATGTGTATAGATTAATGTTATATAAAAGTGATTTAACAATAAAAATATTTTATATACTTTTAGAATTGCATTTGAATTGAATATAAAATATAACTGATCATTATAATATATTTAAATGACATTAGTTATAGTATAGTTAAATTAAAAGTATATTAAAAATTAAAACAATTGGTATCTTTACAGAATACAAAATAGATATGATATCGGATCGGTAATCGGCCGATATCAGCTTAACATCGGATCGGCCTTTAAAATGTGGTATCGGTACACCCCTAATGATAATATTATCATCCAAAATAATATGAAATGGAGAGCATGTGATATCCATCAATTGGACACAAATTATACTAATAAATTTTCCACTTCAACCAATATATTAACTCCATATCAATACTTTAGATTATTTATTTCAGATAATATACTAAATAATATACATAAGTGAACAAAGTAATTTATACAATTTTCTGCAAATAAATCGATCGCTAAATCTTGATATAAATGAATTGGAACAATTTTTATGCATACATCTTTTTTCTTCTTTAGTTAGAGTTCCTTTATATAGACAATATTCGTCTACGGAATTGGCTTTCCCTCAGATTACGGAAACTATGACCTGGTTTCAAATATTTCGAAAATATTTACATTTTAACGATAATTCTCAACTTATCCAAAGAAATCAAGATGGATATGATAAATATTTTAAAATTAGACCCTTTATTTCAGGGATTCAACAATATGCGAAAATTAGAGATGGAGGAAAGATTATGTGTTGATGAAATAATCATCCCGTTCAAAGGGTGGAGTCTTTAAAACAATATATAAACTCAAAGGCTCATAAATGGGGTATCAAAGTTTTTGCATTAGCAGGATCCTCCCGTAATATGATTTTAAGGTTTATGCCGGAAAGCAAACTAATCCAACACCATCAGAATTAGGGATAAGTGGTGATACATCCTTCAATTAGCTAAAATTATTCCAAAATTTCAAAATCATAAACTCTTTTGCGATAACTACTTTTCTTTAATAGCATTGGCTAAAAAATTAAAAGAAATCGGTATATTTGGTAGAGACTATTAGAAGCAATCGGATGAAAGATTTCAAGTTAAAATGCGATAGAGACTTAAAAAAAGAAGGTCGCAGGAACTATATATGTAAAGTTGATAAAAAAGAAAATATAATAATTGTCAAATGGTATGATAATAAGTTTGAGCATGTAATCTCATCTTTTGTCGGTGTTCATCCGATAGTAAATGTAAAAAGATAGTCACTAAGTACAAAAAATATATCGAAGTGCCAAGACCAAATATATTAAAAATATATAATGAATGTATGGGAGGAGTCGATTTACATGATATGCTTGTTGAATGCTATCCAGTAGATATTAAAGGGAAAAGGTTTTACCTGTAATTTTTCATCTCATTGATATGTGTGTAGTAAATTCATGGCTTTTGTATAGGCAACAAATATGCCATGGAAAAGAGAATAAATTCATGAAACTTATCAAATTTAAAACACATATTTTCAACGCACTGTTATCGGCGGGCAAAATTAGTAAAAGTAAATCAGGGAGACCTTTGAATGAACCGATAATTAAAAAAAAAGTTCTTCTATAATGGCTCATATATCTGGTATCAGATATATATGACAACATTGGTCATTTGCCGGATGCCTGCGAAACGAGGAAAGATACAAGTTATGCATAAATGCATACTCCAGAACAAAGTGCCAAATGTAATATATATTTATGTTTTAATCAATATAGAAATTGTTTTCGAGATTTTCATAATAAATAGATATTTTTTATTACAATATGGCTGATGATGTCAAATTGCATCATTATTTTTTTCTTACCTTTAGGCATCTATGGAAGTGTATAATATAAATGAATAATTTATAGAATTTTTTTTTTAATTATTAAAACGTTGGGCGTCAAAGGGTTAATAATGTTATAATATATATTGGTCTTTTTTATTGAGACTATTCCTTAGGGATACAAAATTTTCATAGAGAAAGATTAATGGAATCATAGTTTAGCTTAATATGGATTTATATTTTGTAGCAAACTGTAACTGCCATAGATTTTTTCCACTTAAGCAATCCCACATTATATGGATTATTGTTCCTTAAAGACAATCAAGATAAATAGGTTCAGATTGCACTTGAATGACTTTAGTGTTGTTAAATAGCTTGTTGAGCTAATTTCAAAAATCGCTACCTCAATATTTTGGCCATATAAATATTGTCTAGCCTAAAAATTTTTCAAATAGATGTCAAAACCTTTGGCCACCCATGAGCAAAATGTTCTGACTTGTTTAATATTTTTCTGGATAAAATATTAACTTAGTTGTTTTTAAAAATTGACTTAAATTATAATAATACTAATGACTGTATTCAGAACACTATCTAAATTAATGTTATACTCTGATTCATTTCTAAATATGATATTATACTAGTATATGTCAATTAAATTAATATCATTATTCACTCAGTTTAATCTTTTCTTCTTTTGATTGGCACAAATATATTTACTCCATTCTAAATATATATTATTGATATAGAGTGAGACATTATTTTTCTTAAGATTCATTGTTCAATGAATGTATTAATTTTTGGACTCCAGGATTTTTAATTACCTTTATATTACCATTACTACTTGTATTTAAATGATCTAAATTTAAGTCAGAAATCTGTCTTCCAGATATTCCCTTAAAAATATCAAATGTTGCTCTTGTATTGAATGATAATGTATTATTTTTTTAAACATGTAAAAATGAAGGTGACAACCAAGCATATTTGGAGCAAGTAACAGAGTTATTGATCATTCGAAGCAATAAACTTTATTAGATGGTCATAAAAATTAAAAAATTTTTTTATAGTTTGTTTGAAAATTAATTTATAGTGAAAATAAAACATTTACATTTGGATATATTTTAATTTGGGTGAGAAAAATTGTCAATTTTTAACCATAATTTATTTTAAAAAGTTTACCCCTTTTGCTACCTGTTGATTTAGGCCTAGTTATGTTAATATCATTTTTAGAGTTGTTATAGTATCTTTTTTATTGGTTTTATGGGATCTTTATTAT